TTTTTTTTTTTTTTTTTTTTTTTTTTTTCCTTTTTTTTTTTTTTTTTTTTTTTTTTTTTTTTTTTTTTTTTTTTTTTTTTTTTTTTTTTTTTTTTTTTTTTTTGGGGGGGGGGGGGGGGGGTAAAAAAAAGTTGGGCAAGGGGATGCAGGGTTGTGAGAGGTACGAGAGTTCCATGCATTCAACGCAACAACAAGAGACAAGAGTCTTGAGGGAATCGACGGGAGGATACTATAGTCTTGGGCTATATACGAAATCGTAATAAACCGTGAAAATCAAATCGTTGGCTTCTGATCACTTACCGTAGTTCGGATCCTGATTCGCCGCGTGGATCCCGGATGGTCCTGGTATTAGTCCTGTAATTATCGATTACGATCACAATCACGCAACTGGTCAACACTGGATCGGGAAATTATTAATATCAGTTCATCGATTCGACTTTTCGATCTTTTCGTTTCTATTTTCTACCGTCGAGTGTCATAGTCGAGAGTCATAGTGACGCAAGTCGGTTGTTCAAGAAAAAAAAAAAGTTGCAACGTTGGTCTTTGCAACTTTTTTAATTTTTTTCACGAACGCGATCGAGCGTACAATTCAATTAGCAATGAAACTAGAAGGGACGATACGAAAATTAAGATCCTGACTTGTACCACTATTATCTTTCGTTTCTCCAATTAAAAGTTAGTCGAGGGGTGAGGTGGGGGGGGAATGAAGTTGAATTGATTTCGATGAAATTACCTGGCAATCCCAAGATCGTCGGGAACGAGTTACGATGATGCTCTATATTGTCGTTTAGGATATCGCTCGGCTCCGTTTTCACCGAATTCAGGATACTGTCGTTATTCGACATCTCCTCTTCGTTTTCCGACATCGAGTTCGAGTCCTCGCCGGTAGACTGCGTCTGCAACAAATCGCAATAGCCCCCTTTTCTCATCCAATGATTTTTGGCCGCTTTTCCAAGTCGCTTTTAAAGTGATAAAAACAAAAAGAAAAAAATTTTCTGTGACGCAAAAGAGCACACGCAATAATAATCGGTGACGCGAGAGTGTGTCAAAGAGTTTTCGACTCGATGAAAATGACCTTCTTACCTGTACATTGTTCGTGGGTGTAGTGTGTATCGTGGGTCCTCCTTCCAGAGCCTGGCCCAAAAGCGAGTCCTGTAGGTCAGTTTTCTGTTCCACGTGGTTACCCAAAGGAGGACTGTAGCTTCTTGGTCTCTTCTCTGGAGGTGGACTCAGAGCACCCTCGTTCAACTCTCCCCTGCCATTGTCTTGCCACGGATTGCGTGGCGTCGCCTGTTGGAGCCGATCGATCGTCGCTCGATTAAGCTCCTTAGTTAGCTCGAAATTAACATCCATAGAGAGGATGAAAAATTGCCCCTTACCGGTGCACTACCGTTGTTTCCACCGGAGGATGTGGACGGCGGAATCTTCGCAGTGGCGGCGCCGCTGTTCACGTCGGCCAACCCCCGAACCTGAAGCATCTGAGCTGTCTTGAGAAAAGCGGCTAGCTGCTCCTGTCCCACGTGAACCTCGCCGTGGTACATGAAACGCAGCAACGACTCCATGTCCGACGAGGCAACGTCCCTTAGGATCACGATCGGGTGCTGACACGGATTCGCCTGCACAGACGGAACGAACGATGGAGAAATGAAACAACAACAACAACAACAACAACAACAACGAAAAAGAAAGACAAAAACGTTGAAAAGTCTTTCTACGTTAAGTGAGCGAAAATGAATTCCGGATTGCGCTATCCAGAGAGCGTTGATTATGATCGATGCTGGTCGGACGAATCTCGTTCATGTAAATCAGTTAATCCTATTTATCAGGTCGTTCAGCGCCGGCCAGGTCTGGTCAATTGATTTACAACGACGATTTACAACCACGACACGTACAACGAGCTACGTTTAATCCACGTCGTCGATACCTTTCGCGTAGCTTTTAACGACTTCAACCGACCAACTATACCAAACTACTGTTCCTTCTCTCTCCCTCTCTGTCGCTACAACGCGTAACCCATTTTCCCCTCTCGTACCTTTTGTCTTTCTCTTTCTCTAACCAACAGCCAAGCCAGCCTACAAATTAACCACTCGTACAAACTAGCCGCTCTATAACGGGGAACGATCATCCTCGATGGAAGATGGGAATTCATACGGACGTATACGGCGCGCACTTACACGTTAGAGGCGTTCTCGCCGATCTATGTCGATCGAGTAATATACGAGCCGGCGCTGCGCCCGCCATTATCGACACCGATATTAATTATAATTAATGACCGCCGGCGCTTTCCAACGGTAACGCGCGGTTATTTCGAGGCGACGCGCCGCGCCGCGACGCGACGCGACGCAACGTGCGGCCAGAGGCGTACCACGACGTATGTACATACATGTACATACAATGACGGATCGGCAAGAACGCGAGAGGATGGGCCAGCTATGCGCCACTCGGAATATCTCGTCGACTCTCGCCGATTATCGAGACACGAATTCGCTTCGAATCGGCGTGCATACGCTGAAAGCGTACGTTGTCGCGGAAGCCGCGAGAATATTTATTATTGTCGGTCGGCCACTATCGATTTACCCGTTGCCAGTTATAATCGCTCCAGATTTTGTAACATCGACCGGCGTGTGTTGACCGGTTGGAACTCGACACTCTCCGATCCGCTTGAATTTTCTTCGTTCCTTTTTTTCTTTTTCTTTTCTTCTTTTCTCTTCCTTTCTTTTCTTTTCTCGTCGCGTGAAAGGAGCAATAACCGAGATCGGCTGACGCACTGGTTTTCTCTGAAACCCAGTTGTTGCCCCCCCGTTGTCGATTTCTCTCGCAACTTTTCAAATTTTTTCTCGACTCTTTCGGGGATCTTCTCAGCTCGGGATTAAAATCGAGCTTTCGAGCAACGCACCAATTAAAAATTGACCAAACTCGCCGCTAGAATACGGAATGTACGAGGATAAAAGAGGCACAGTCGTAACACAATTTTCATAAACAGGAGTTTGCCAATGACCATGCACGCTTAAGTTAATCGCTAGAGAATCGTTAGCTAACTAATAAGCTATTACTAGAAGACTAATAATTACCAGACTGCAAACATTTTTATGCATAACAGATTTGTATTTTTACGAATAATCGAATGTTACTACACCTAGCCAGGTACTGGAATGAACTCGACACTTTCGATACTTGGTGCGTTTTTACAACTTTGAATTTCTCGCGGATCAGCGGTCTGTGTTAATTACTTCGAGAAACCCGCAACAGGAAATAAAAGTAACACGCGCGTACGAGCGAGAGTCGCCGGGCTTATCTAATCCCTGTCCGATCGGGTAATTCTTATTGCACAGCTGCCAGTAACTTCTGAATGAGATTACCGGATACAGCGTGTCCAAACGGGTATAAACATTGGCAAAAGTGAGAGTAGCAGTTCATTTGCTCGTCACGCCGGTTATTCGCTCCAAAACCGTGAACGTACACACTATCGGGGAAGGGATTTTCACGATCCCGAGACTGCACGGTATAATTGAAATAATCGTCGTGGTTGAAAATATCTCTCTCTCTCTCTCGTCGATGCAGTTCCGTGCTGGCGTTACACAAAGGCAGGAACGAGCTCCGGCGATGGAACAGAAAGGGGGGAACGAAAGAGGCGAGGAGAGAAAGGGAACGGAGAGAACTCCGCCATGGACTCCTTTATCGCATTAACCAATTTAATTAACAACTTTGAGACGGACTCTCCCCCTCCCCCTCACCCCCGCTAATTAGACCTAACGCGATTAAAACGGGTCAATAATTAATTGTATGGACGCTCGTCGTGCGTCGCAGCCGAGCGAAGCGCCAAGAATTCATTTTGCCACCGGCGCACGATAGACGGATGTATTTTCATTTGCGTATCGTGAGCTAATCGCGAATTCTTAAACAAAATTGCGTTTAGTTTTTTTTTTTCTTTTAATGCAGTCGTTTTCTTTCACCTTGTAGATATTATTACAACAACCACGAGATAGTTGATAGAAATTAA